GGTATGTACAGTTGACCAGATTCTATTACAGCCTGACCTATATATTTCAGGCCAAAGGTGCTACTGACTGTAGAGTGTTTGAAAACAAAAACCTGCCTCATTTTGCTCTGTACTGTAGTGCACTGTATCTAAACTGGTAGGAGCATCCTTCATTTTCACTGTCACTCATCAATGTATCCAATATATATATAGTGTATTCTTAGGTTATGTTGACCACAGATATGATTTATGAATTACCTCATAAATTATGCAAATCACACCCATATTTGCATCATTGATACATATTTATGCCAAGCATTACTTCAGCTACCTACATACCAAAAATCATGACTATCCGTCAATCGGTTCTTGAGGTATTCTCTTTTAAATACTTTTAAACAAACGTCCTTGTAGTTCCAGAGCAAGGCTCTAGGAAGCCCAAACTCACGCCACGTCCTCCCCAGCACATTCTACCTATCATTCAAATTTTGTGACCCTAGCATGTCTAGATCGTGAGATATTAACAAAAGACAGTCTTATCTTAACGAATAATGTCATTTTAGCATTTCCTCATAAATTATGCAAATGAAGTCATTATTTGAATTGATGTTGAGTTGATGTTTAATGATGTTCACCTTCACTTAACTTTCAAATATCCGAAGTATGGAATTCGAGGCAGTTATCATTGCTAAATTATAACATTTTCTCATTAATTATGCAAATTAAGTCTTGATTTACATAATCGATATTTGCCTGTGTTTCTCTCGTTCTTAATAACATATGTTACAAGCTTGAACTTCCTATCACGGAATGCAGCTGATTTATAGAATTTCCTCATTAATTATGCAAATTACATCAATATTTGCATAATTGTAATATCGTTATGTCAAGCATCACTTAAACTACCTACATACCAAAAATCACGATGATCCATCAATCGGTTCTTGAGTTATCCTCTTTTAAACAATTGTCCTTTAAACCCCCCTGCAGTTCTAGAGCAAGCAACTAGGGGGCTCAAACTCATGTCACTTCATCCCCAGCACAAGAGCTATCTACCACCTTAATTTGGTTACCCTAGCATGTCTGGATCTTGAGATATCAAAACCGGAAGTTCTGCTGCAGTACCATGACAAGCCGCCAGGTGGCCCAAAATCTAATCATTTTGAGGTCTCATCAAGACCTACCCACCTACCAAATATCAAGTCAGTCCGTTTAAGCCTTCTCAAGTTATCGTGTTTACAGACAGACAGACAGACACACACACACACACACACATACACGAACGCCTCTGAAAACATAACCTTCTTGGCGAAGGTAATTAAGTATAATTTTGTAAAGTTCTTTGATCACAACGATTTATTTTTCACGAGCCGACGTTTCGATGACCGTCTGTCATCTTCATCAGGGCAATTCTGACTGGTTTGCTGTGCACTGACACTAGATGTTACTTGGTGCATAGTGCACTAAGGTGTTACATGGTGACACGTCAGTGCACAGCAAACCAGTCGGAAAATGCCCTGATGAAGAAGACAGACGGTCATCGAAACGTCGGCTTGTGAAAAATAAATGGTTGTGATCAAAGAACTTTGCTATTCATTCGTTTACCAACCTGATGAAATTATTTACGGATATAATTTTTCTTGTAGGTTGTCGTCATCATCACCGACGGAAAGGCAATGGATGACGAAGTCCTGGCGAAGGCATCACAGGACATAAAAGCAGACGGTGGATTGGTCAGTGCTGTGGGAGTGGCACGCTTCAAGCTGAAGGATCTAAGGGTAAGAGAAACAGCTACTGACGTAGAGTGAAGTAATGGATACCTGAATAGTTTCATCAGGTTGGTAAGTCACTGAGTTTTTTAAACAACCAAATCTTTTATCCAGCCGAAATCCTTCCTCAGAGCAATTCTGACTGGTTCACATTGCACTGCAGATTGTAGATACAGTTCCATGTAATCACGCATATGTGTAAATATGTAAATATTGTACATTTGTACGTTTCGGAATGCATCTATAGCAGATACAGTTCCATGTAATCACGCATATGTGTAAATATTGTACGTTTGGGAATGCATCTATAGCAGCGACCCCAGTGCTGCAGTGCAATTGAACCAGTAAAAATTACCCTGAGGAAGGTAACAATTGCCCCGAGGAAGGGGACAGACGGTCACCGAAACGTTAGCTGATAAAAAATCGATTGTGTAAAAAAAGAGTCTCTTTACTCAATAGTCACTAATGTAGAATAAAGCAATGACTATTTTTAAAAGTAACAGTTCTAGACCCAAGCGATTCAGCCCTAAGCTCTTTGAAATTCGAAGAAAGAGTAGTTGGCCCTTCCAGTAACAATAACAATAGCAATGATATCTTTCAGATTATGGCATCAAGTGACAGCTTGGTGTTCACTGCAACTGACTTTGACCAAATGGACGCGATCAGGGACGCAGTTCTGGAGGCCGTTTGTAAAGGTACATCAACGTTTTCTTAAACATTTGCATGGAAGAATGGGATCATAAGTATGCTACTTTGTGGAGATAAGGTCCAGGTTACCTCAACATATCGGTAACCTTCTACACATTATTTAGAACTGGACTGGGCTTCTTAACAATGAGTACCAAAAACAGAGAGACAGACGCACACAAATCTTAAGTTCGACTTATTACTTAGGTCCGATTATGTTATGTACAACTTTGCATTAAGTTCTTTAATGTCATTTAATGTTTCCAGTCTGACCTTTTGATTCAGACTTGGATTTATGTTTATATGATTTCTGTACCTATGTTTATGTTCATGTTTATGTTTTGGTGTCTTATAAGCCCATATGGGCCGGGCGACAAAAGTCGCAAGACACGTATTATACTAAATAAAAATTCATTAATTCATTCATTAATTCATTCATTAATTCATTCATTCATTCATTCATTCATTCATTCATTCATTCATTCATTCATTCATTCATTCATTCATTCATTCGACTCCTGTCTGTATTATGTAAATGTATTTGAGTAAGAATGAACAGAGCAAACCGTATGTGAAGGTAAACATTATGCATTTGCTTTAAAAATGTAAGTTTCTAGTTATTATTAATTTCGTTAACACATTGGCGTATCCTCATAGATCAGAGTCGTCGCGACATCGCGTGGGAGATTGACTCCTACCTGCAGTTCCTGAAGGAGTCGGCAGTGGAGCTTGTGGACAACCTGGAGGCGGTGAAGGAGCGGCGCCTGGTGGGGCGGGACTTTGAAGAGGACGAGTACGTGGCCGCCCACCTGAGTCAGGTAAGCTTTAGGAGATTTAATGTCAGCCTCTACCAGGCTTCAGGAGAAGGCTACAAAGAGTAGAAGTTGGTCAAATATACAGATAATATGTCATCGGGAAAGTTAACGTTGGTCGTCTAAGAGAACAGTGTGAGTGAGTGAATGAGTGAGAGAGCCAGAGAGAGTGAGTGAGAGAGACAAAGAGTGAGTCAGAGTGAGTGAGTCAAATGAGAGTGAGTGAGTGAGTGGCTGACTACCTGACTGACTGACTGATTGACTCTGTCTGACTCTATGACTGACTGACTGACTGACTAACTCTCTGACTGACTGACTGACTCTCTGACTGACTGATTGACTGACTGACTTACTCTGATTGACTGTCTGACAGACTGATTGACTGTCTGACTGACTGATTGACTCTGACTCTGACTGACTGACTGACTTACTCTGATTGACTGTCTGACAGACTGATTGACTGTCTGACTGACTGATTGACTCTGACTCTGACTGACTGACTGACTGACTTACTCTGATTGACTGTCTGACTGACTGATTGACTGACTCTCTGACTGACTGATTGACTCTGACTCTGACTGACTGTTTGACTGACTGACTCTCTGACTGACTGACTGACTTACTCTGATTGACTGTCTGACTGATTGACTCTGTCTGACTCTCTGACTGACTGACTCTCTGAAATACTGACTCTCTGACTGACTGTCTGACTGTCTGACTGACTGACTCTCTGATTGACTGTCTGACTGACTGACTGATTGACTGACTCTCTGACTGACTGACTCTGTCTGACTCTCTGACTGACTGACTGACTGCCTCTCTGACTGACTGACTGAGTGACTGAGTGAGTGAATGAGTGAGTGACTGACTGACTTAGTGAGTGAGTGAGTGACTGACTGACTTAGTGAGTGAATGAGTGACTGACTGACTGTCTGACTTAGTGAGTGAGTGAGTGAGTGAGTGACTGTCTGTCTGACTCAGTGAGTGAGTGACTGGCTGACTGTCTGACTTAGTGAGTGAGTGAGTGAGTGACTGTCTGTCTGACTTAGTGAGTGACTGACTGACGGTCTGACTTAGTGAGTGAGTGACTGACTGACTGTCTGACTTAGTGAGTGACTGGCTGACTGACTTAGGGAGTGAGTGAGTGACTGACTGTCTGTCTGACTTAGTGAGTGACTGACTGACTGTCTGACTTAGTGAGTGAGTGACTGTCTGTCTGTCTGACTTAGTGAGTGACTGACTGTCTGACGTAGTGAGTGAGTGAGTGACTGGCTGACTGTCTGACTTAGTGAGTGAGTGAGAGAGTGACTGTCTGACTTAGTGAGTGAGTGACTGACTGTCTGACTTAGTGAGTGAGTGAGTGACTGACTGTCTGACTTAGTGAGTGACTGACTGACTGTCTGACTTAGTGAGTGAGTGAGTGACTGTCTGTCTGACTTAGTGAGTGACTGGCTGACTGTCTGACTTAGTGAGTGAGTGACTGACTGTCTGACTTAGTGAGTGAATGAGTGAGTGACTGACTGTCTGACTTAGTGAGTGACTGGCTGACTGTCTGACTTAGTGAGTGAATGAGTGAGTGAGTGAGTGACTGTCTGACTTAGTGAGTGAGTGACTGTCTGACTTAGTGAGTGAGTGAGTGAATGAGTGACTGACCGACTGTTTCACTTAGTGAGTGAGTGAGTGACTGACTGACTGACTAACATTGTGTTGTTCTACTCCAGGCCCTGGACGCTCTGTTTGAGCTGGAGGGTCGGCTGGAGAAGCGGGGAGAGTACGAAGGCAGCTGGGCCATGGACGATCTGCGCAAAATCGGCGATCAGCTGGCCCACATCCGGGACATCGCCGTGCCTCTGGAACTCAAGGAAGTTCCCGAGTATGAGGCCGAGGAGACCTTTAATTAGTTGATTGGTCCATTGTTCGACCGGTCAGTATATAGTACGTTAAAGGCATCCAATGTGATTTCAGAGCAGCAAAACTGGAAATATTCTGAATAAGGCAATCTTAAGATATATACACATGCTGCTTCACATTAGCACATTTCAATCAGTATTTCATATTTTGGGTAATTAAAACTGCAGTAGCAAGCCCCAAGATGACTCCTTTATGTTAGGGATGGTACCCTAAAAATCAGCAAATGGTCCTTTCAGTAACCATTTTCCATCAGAATTTGGGGTATTTTTGCTCCATAATGGTAAATATACATTAGGATAGCGTGGTTTCAACTCAGTATGTAGAAAGTGACTAGAATATTGACAATGAAAATTCGGGTTTTCAAGCCCTAAAAACTGCATTGGATGCCTTTAAGAACTGATTTTAAGAGTGACAGTAGTAGTGGTGCGGCATTGGCAAGTCTTGTTTCTTTTGACAAAAGTCACAAAAGTGATCACACAAGTAAACGATGCGAACTTAGTATAGAAGTTAAGCTGTAGCATAATCATAGGTTAACAAACTAGTTTTGAGCTGACCTAGCCTGTTATCACATATATGGGAAGTTAACAAATGATGCTTTTTGCTCGCTAGTTGCGTCACGCAAGTGGTTTGCTGGGAGTAACTATTGTAGAACCAGATATTCTGTAACAAGTAGTTTTCTGTTCAGCACTATTAGAGTTACTGTTCTCTTCAGCACTATTAGAGTTACTGTTCTCTTCAGCACTATTAGAGCTAGTGTTCTGTTCAACACTATTAGAGCTAGTGTTCTCTTCAGCACTATTAGAGCTAGTGTTCTGTTCAACACTGTTAGAGTTAGTGTTCTCTTCAGCACTATTAGAGCTAGTGTTCTGTTCAACACTGTTAGAGTTAGTGTTCTGTCCAGCACTATTAGTGTTCTGTTCAGCACTATTAGAGCTAGTGTTCTGTTCAGCACTATAGAGTTAGTGTTCTGTCCAGCACTATTAGTGTTCTGTTCAGCACTATATTAGTGTTCTGTTCAGCACTATTAGAGTTCTGTCCAGCACTATTAGTGTTCTGTTCAGCACTATTAGAGTTAGTGTTCTGTTCAGCACTATTAGAGTTAGTGTTCTGTTCTGTTCAGCACTATCAGAAGCCATGTTAGCGAGATTCCGACATATTCTTCTACCTTTCATATACATTTAATTCTTGATAACTTCCAAACATACTTCGAGACTTTTCAGACCTGATTGGCCCTTTTCTGTAAGCCACACCACTGCACGACTATGCTATTATCGCGGGGTGATTAGGCCAGTGTCTGGCAAATAAAATTGGTTGTAGAACTCTGGTGTCATGTTTTTTTTGACAGGTAACGCAAGTGGCCCAAATATTTGCCACTTTTTTTTTATTCCAACATTTCATGACCAAACATGTCGACCGCACACTCAAGTTATATATCAACTTATTTTATGCCGCCACCAACACAGACTACAAATACAGGACATGACAATACTCATTTTCACTTGAGGTAAGTGAGGAAAGTCGCGTAAAGTATCTGTAACAAGGGCACAAGATCGGTGGAATGTCAGGACAGGAACCCGGGACCTCTTGGTTGCGAGTCGAGCACTTGCCACTTGTATGTTTCAAACTATGATGGCCGGTATCTTACCTTACCATTGCCTTCAACACACTACACATGGTTGAGGATTTTCTGAACTTAAGTATTACTGAATTAACAAGACATTTTATGCCAGCATGTTTACGGATAATCCAACCTCTTGCATTCTGTGCCCGGTACATACAAATCTTGACAAAAAGTCGACCCAACAGAAATGATTTATTATGCTGGCTTGTCTTGTGGTTCGGTTCTGACAGTTTGACAAATCGTCCGCGGTTAGCCAGGCGTGTGCAATCAGGTCAACGATGTTGACATCTGGGTTAATGAAGTGTGCAGAGAGTGCGCCAATACTCTGTTAGCACAAACATTAAAGCGATATTATGTAAGATTTTTGCGCCAAAACTGCAAATATAAACAAATTTTCTCATCTAGATTGTCATTTTCAATAACGTTCAACATATTAGCGTCGCTATTTCGCTTTTCCGGCGAATCAGTGCAGCGCAAGAATAAGTTGCGCCAGGACCGCTGTATTTTAGGAGGCTCCCAAAAAGAATGTAAACAAACAACATGGCCGCGAACCGCACTAGTTTTGGCAATTTTCTAACACGTTTTTGCGGTGCAACGACGTTGAACTTTTACTCCCCAAATGTTATTATGAACCCAGGTAGGCTTATAGCACAAGTAAATGTGCAAAACAACAATGTTTAAAATAGTGAAAATCTTACATAATATCGCTTTAACGCGGTAAACATTACTACTAGATGGTACCGTGGCACAAATACACATGCACAACGTGGCGTATTAGCGTTCTAACATTCAATAAAACCCCTGCCACTGAACTTACGTGTACTGCAAGGTTGCCTTCTTGAAACAGATTCCTACCGTTTTGTCCGTGTTTGGATTCCACAACTTTGTACAGCCACACTACCACCTCCAACCTCTATTTCAGTAGTCTCCACCAGACTCCTATGCAGGCTCATAAAATTATATAGTAGAAATTAGTCTAAAATGTAATTTAATTGGCCAGAGGAGTTGGCCTGCCAGAGAAGGTCCATTTGCCTGCTGGCCAGCCAATTTCTCTGGCCAATTAAATTCCCTTTTTAGGCCGATTTCTACTATTTATTCAGCCTGCAAAGGAGTCTGGTGGAGGCTACTGTCTCAGCGCGATAAAGGTTTATTTGTCGACGAAATATCGCGAGATTCTACGGTAATAAACATGATTCTGGAGGGATAGTTTGAAGGACACAGGTGTCCCCAGTGCCCTGCGGGACCTGGTCTATAATCCCACATTATCCGACTCGTTAACTCATCTGACACTGACAACATGATGAATAGTTCTATATAATTGCCATTCGTCAACATATTCTACCTTGCAAGTTAAGTAAAATACATCTATATTGAACGGACTGAGAAAGAGCCAAAGAACTGAACCAAAAACTATACTGTAATTCACTTTATGTTCACGGTAGCAAAATTTCACGGTCTGAGAAAAATGGACATGTTCACGGAACTATACATTCATGGTGGCAACAGGTGCAGGAAAAAGTCCAGTTCACGGTACAGAAGTGACAGTGAAAATAGTGAACATAACAGTACAGTGAAAAAATCAAGAATTGCAGTACTTCTAATACTGTACAAGTTTTTTCCTTGATTTGAGCATACAGATTGTATGCTTGATACAACAACATAGGCAAGTGACTCTTCGTTACATAAAATTTACTTACATATACATGTATACCTGTCGTAACTACCAACTCGCTGACACCGTATAAAACTGTATAAAACGAGAAAAAAATCCAACATGATTTGGGATATGATAACGTATACTTTAACCTTGCTTTCCATAAGGTTATAGATGGTAGGTCATGTGTGGATAATAAGACCTGAGTAGCTGTGGTGCTGTCATTGTTCAGAGTTTATGTGGTGAAGACAGCCCGGGGGCTTCGGGACTTAACGCTGTCTGTTTGAACAGAAAGGGGGCGGGGTCAGAATCACAGATCTGATGACTGAGCAAGAACTAACCCGGTATCGCAGTCTACCGTGGTTGGGGCGGGTTTTCCTCGGGGCTGCAGGAGCTCTTCCCCGCCCGCCTGAGCTAGGTTCCCCCGGTAGGTTTTTCACGGCGGGAGTTTGATTAGCGGTGGGGCAAATTTCCTCGGGCAAATCAACTCCCGGCGTGCCAAATTCTACCACAGACGCAACACTCCTACCGGGGCGGTCTGTTGAGCTGGACGGGGGAAAACTATTAGAGCCCCGAAGACAGCCTGTCTCGACCACGGTAGATTGGATACCAGGTTAAACAAGAACGTCAGCAAAGATTATGTACTTCAATAGAGACAGGCAAATGTTGACGCCCCAGCCTAGGAGCACCAGTAATAGTGTACTCTTTACTTGGGTTGATACTTTCGACGCCAGGCGGCATATGCTGGGGCACTCTTTTGTGACACGCCTTTTCGCGTCTGAAAACGATGTAATCCCATCTTTACGTCTGTAGTGTAATGCAAATCTGATCGGACTAGGGTATCTAATTATACTGTGTACTGTACTGTACTAGAGACGGGACTGCCTTTTTAAGTTGGTAAATCTTTTGGACAAGGCCAAGCCTTCATTAAAGATCCTCGAAATAACCAAGCGTAAGATTTCAACGTTAGTATTGAATATTGCTTTTCACGTTCAATGTGTTTTAAAATGTCCCCCAAACTGGTGTCAGTGCGGTGGGATTGCTGTACCTATGCATATTATATATTCCGAAGATCACGTAAAAGTATTATCCATTTGCTCTTTGTATTTTGGTTTTGTGAATTGTGTAATTAAATTTGGAGAGCTAAAAATCGATTGTGTCTCCGCCACATCTTTTGTGTAAAACGTACATTTGTCAGACAAACACGCTATCCAGCCCCCTCTTGCGATTCTAGCTGGAAAAATATCATTCATTTTACTGACTTTTGCATTAACGTAGACGTCCTTGGCCTCAATTGCGAAACAAACAAACAAACAAACAAACAGACAAACAAGCAAATAAGCAATAAACAAACACGGACAAACAGTGTCGTTCTTTTCGTTCGTCATGATTTCAACCCGAAAACCTTTCGACGAAAACCTAAGCTTATACGACCTAACTACAAGCCATTGTGTGACAATACAAGCTTCCATTGTCTGTGTGTCATTGACCCTTTCACGGCTAGTCGCAGCCTGGGGTAGCGTTTTGTCTAGACAGGGCACCATATGGATCTATTTGTCGGTCAAACTGGGAGATACCTTCATCACACAACTGTACAAAATTTACATATACTTCAAAAGACCGTTCGAAGTCTGTTGTAACGAATTTGGCGCGTTTCTGACCTGGAGACACATCATATGGATGGTAAGGCATAAATTAAAGCAATGTGACCCAATGTCAACCTGGTGTGCCAGTTATATTGTTGTTGATCAACTGTTGAGGCAGTTTGAACATCACGTGTTGATCGAGTTA